AGATGATGTAAATGTCTGCTTGCATCCAAGGCGCTAAAAAAGGCATTTCTTTTAGATATGAAACGACAGCTCAGTGGTCGCCTATTGCCGTGGGGATTAGAGAAAACTGGGGTAATAATTTTCAATATTCAACAGATTGCCTGCATTCATTATAAAGCGGCACCCTTTGTGGTTCTGAATAGTGTTGTTAGCTTATTGATTGTGTCAGTCTATTCAGGTATGTTCTAAGCTGCCATCAAATTACATATTTGACCTTCAGTGACAATGGCCTTAATTTACATTGCTTAGTAATAGACTTATTAAAAACCTTCCAAAATCCAATTTGGGAAGCAGTTTGCAGTTGCTGCATCATTAGTATTGAAATGCATGTAAAGAGCTACCATCTGCTCAAAGTAGTTAAACCTTTGTCACACACAAATGCAAGACACGCTTCTCTCTCTCCAAATTATCATGGCTAGAAACCCAACAGATAGCATTTCTTTTTTTTTTCCGCATGTTGCACTATGAATACTAATTCTCTGTTGGTGTGGAGTCATGGGGTAAAATGCTGAAAGTTTAATCTTTGACTTACCAGAAGGCATGCATCTGACATTCAGCATTCAACAATGATGAATGATTCACAATGTACTTTAAGCAGTCGAAGAAGAGTCGAAGGTGTTGAAAGATTTTTAGGGGAAGATGCTTTTTTTAACTGTCGCAATTGCACTGTCATTCAAAATTCTCCAGAATACAGTACTTTCTGTCTTCACGTTCAAGACATTCTGCAAAAGTGAAAATGACAGCTGCTTCATATGAAATCCCATTAATTAAACAGTAAGCAAAGGTCACGATACCATGGAAAGCCCAAGATCAGGCTATATGATTTTATGTTGTGGTGTCCCATTTGGTTTAACTTTACAAATGTGATATACCTAAAGGAGCTATTTATATTATGGCTAATCCTTTCTTTCTTTCTTTCTTTCTTTCTTTCTTTATTGATTGATTAATTGATTGTCTTTTCTTTTTTTTTTTTTTTTCTAAAAGTTTGTGCCCCCTGCAGGTCAAAAGGTCTATAAATAGGAAGGTGGCTGGTTGGAGGTGTGGCTGACTGGGAGTACACAGCTTTTTGACCTTGAGTTGGAGCCATTTCGTTTGTTTTGCAGTCCAACTTGTATTTGTTTGTTTATCTAAATAATTATGTTTATTTATTTTTCTTTTTTTTTTTGACTTTGTTGAATTCCTAAAGTTATATAAAGTCCAAGTTACATATACTTTTAGCCAACCAGCAATTCATTTTTATTTTACTGGAAATGACAGGCTTCTCCCAAAAGATATTAAGGCAATGTACGAGAGGCATTATTATATAACACGTAATCCTAATTCTATTTGTATACCCCTTCACTTTGGTCCTTGAAACAGAGTGAGAAGGGGAAGGGCTTCAAAATTTAACCCTAAGAAATGGGACAGCACAACAACACCTGCACACATCATCATCGCGATCTCTTGCTTCATATGATATTGACGACCGAGAAAAAAAAAAAAGATGATATTGACCACTGTCATTGCTGTAGTTATTCCAGTTCTGTTATTTTTTTATGTTTATCTTCAGGAAATCACTGAAGGCATATATTATGTTATCATTATGATATAATGTGGCAATAAGATCGTAACTGTACTCTGCATTGACACCAGGGCCATATTCATGTGTTAATTGTGAAACCGGCGTAACAGTCTTTTATGTGGAGGTGTCTGCACGCAGTGAGTTTTGCAAGTCGACAAAACAAAGTTTAAATAATATGATGGTGATCTTATTTAGAATAAGCATGGCTCCTGATAGAGTTTTTGTATGAAGGAAACAGAAGGGGTGATGATTCAGGGAGGTAAGACTAGATAGAGTTGGGTCAAAGAAAACACACAACAGATTATTTTATGAAACATATTTTTGTATTCTATAGAATTGTCTAGAGAATTTTATTTAAATGAAATTAATATTCATGTAAAAGATTTCTTAAATTATCTTAGCATCACTCTAATTGTGTCTTTAGATTGTTTTTCAGTTACATTAAGGATTCATTTCTGTTATTTATTTAGAATAATAATTGTATAATAACAATACTGTTATTTAGTTGTGTGTGTGTGTGTGTGTGTGTGTGTATTTTTTATTTTTATTTTATTATTTTATTATTATTTTATATATATATATATATATATATATATATATATATATATATATATATATATATATATATATATATATATATATATACATATATACATATATAATTTTTTATAAAAGATATAGAATTATTTATATTATAGATATATTTTCTTTTTTTATTAATGAATTTATTTTTGAGGGGGAACTGTGCCCCAGTAGAGCTTTATGTCTAGCAACACCCCTGCTGACAGGGTATTCGAGTGTAATCGAGTGACAGAATGTTGTGGGACTGCTATACAGGAGTTATTATTATGGATTATAGATCGCAAAATTTAGTGGGGTTTTAGTTTAGTGCGTTTCTAAAAAGCATGACGGTAAAATACACACACGGTTATAAATGTATTAAAACACATGATTGTTTGTTGTAAAATTTTTTAATAATGATTAAAAAAATACAAATTTGTAGGTCTTCATATATATTTATTAAATATATGTATATAATGTACATCATGATGCTGAATGTTAGTGCATATTCATGGTTAATGTGTGTGTAGTATAATTTCATTAAATGCAATATAGCATATTGAAGAAAAAAAAAGTAATTTCCTGCTATGTCACTGTAAATGTGTACATTTCTTTCGTTTGCTTACAGAAGATTACCAGACTGTTTTGTAGGTGTGATAACAGTCTGTAATCTAAAAGCCAATTCAGACTTCTGGTGAAAAAAATATAGTAGAAATATTTAAATGCAACAAAATAAATAAAAGATGGAAGTTGTAGCCTAAAGGTTTATATGTAAAAAAACTGAATCAGCTTCTTTCTACATGTGGTAATATTATACAGTGCTCAGCATATAAGTACACTCCTCTTTAAATTCATATTTTTAATACAAAGCTATAATATTTGAGACTATAAAGATTAGTCAGTATACTGAAGCAAAATCTGGAGCTTATCTAACAAAATTAAACTTATGATTACAGTCCAAAATCATATATGTTGTTATAGGAAAATACTAAATACTTATTTTAAGAAAGAGAAAAAATTAAGAGATGCAAAAAAAAAAAAAATAATTAGTTAAAATTGTGCAGGTTGTAATATATTTTATAATTGTTTCCTTGAATTTAATTGAATTATCTTTCAATTTCTAAATATGACTAAAATATTATTTTAATTAATAAATATGTTTAATAAATCTTTTTTGTTTTTGTGCACCAAAATACACTGCCTATATTACTGAGAAATGGATAAAATATTCATTTTCAAAATGGGGTGTACTCAATTATGCTGAGCACTGCAACAGTGTTAACAGTTTAATCATGCAAAGTTCTGTAAACAATTCTTCCAAATTAGCATTATTATTTATCATTATTACAATTGGTCAGTGAAAACATTGACATTTTGTTGTGAATAAGTTATAAATGTTGTAAACAAGCACCTTAATGCAAAAACAAAGAAATGCCATAAGTAGTTTACAGAATAAACAAATCCAGAGAATCTGACCATATTTAAGTGGTATTTGTTTTCCATAGCTGTAATGTGTGTCCTGTATAGTCATGTAAATAGAGTAAATAAAAAGTAATCTTAAAAATTAATTATGTGTAACAATGAAATATAAACTCATAAAAACAATTATACGACGTTCTTTTAATCTTATTCTTATAATATTCTTCTTCATACCCGCATTACAGGTTAGCACAGCCTGAAACAGACTGTCGCCACAGTTATAGCGTCCCGTTGCCATAGAAACGACCTGCCGCTGCACTTGCTTGTGTTTTCTCTCTCTAGCTAACCAGCTAACGTTAACTATCTGTCTAAATTAGTAAGTAAAGAAGCGCTTTTACAACTTCTTCAAGACTCTACAGACCTAACATAGACGACTGATGTTCGTATTGCTGGATGAACGTGGTTAAAATGCTTTGCGCTCGTCCATGCAGCAAATAATAGCTGATGTGGTTTGTATAACCGTCATTGTGTGCAACAGTGGCTATGAATCATCTTTTGCTCGATCTGAATACGACAGAAATAAAGTGACCTTCACTATTCAATCTAAATCTTTTGAAGCATGTTCAGGAACGATTACCAGGTAGGCTAAAGTAAGCACAGAACACATTCATTAACAGGCACTTCTTCTTTTCGGTGTTTTCATAGTGTGTGTGCGTGCGTGCGTGTGTATAGGGTGGTCTCACGGTTGACATCTTCAGTGCACAAGGAAAAGATCCTGTGGCAAAATGGAAACTATATGGCCGGAAACCTTCAATAACTAAAGTATGTGTGTTTCAGTAATGACAGCTTTTTGCATTAATGAAAAAAGGAAATAGTTTTCAACTGGTCAGAAAATAAATACAAAGTATTTCGACATAAATGTCAATGCAATTATATTTGCTGTGCATATTTTACTCTACCTTAAAAAGCAGTTTAAAAAAAGTCAACATGTGTTCTGTGAAGTGTATCCTTTTTTTTTCCTGAGAAATAATGGTGAAATTTATTTAGTTATTTATTTTTGCAAGACTCTGAGGCATATCCCTAAAGTTGGCCTTCATAAAAAGAAAAGAAAAGAAGAGTATTCACTGGAGGAAAAAAGGCTTAATTTCATACAGATGTTGTTTGCGTGGCAGAGTCTCTCCTGTAAATAATCTCAGAGTGAATTGGAGAATGGTCTTCATTTTATATAAGATAACACAAGTAGCAGCACTAAACCAATGCCACAAAAGCATCCAGTATATTGCTTGTATCTTCGACAATAAAGAATCTGCAGAAATCCATCAGCCTTCTGAAAAGGAGGAATATTACTTTTTATTGATTATTTTCTGTACTTTAACAGGTGTTTGATAAAGAAGTGAAGGGTTTCGTGTACAGTCTTGAAGGCAACAGTCAAACACACAAGATGCAGTTACCTAAGGACAGCAAGATGACTCGTGAGTGCTGTTTAAAACAGAATAAATCAGACACATCACGGGGCTCTTGTGCTTCAAGGTTCTTCAGTGTCATCTGCGGGTCCATTACAATGTTTTAACATATAAGAAACCTTTACCTTGGACAAAGGTTTTAAAGAGGACATTTAACAGAACTATTACTATTTTAGATTTTTTAACAAAACTTTATGCATAAACACAACTACCAAACACATATTATTAGCACTTTTATAGTTGGTTATTTGTGTTACTGCAATAATCAACATTGTAAAAAAAATCTGTAAATTAATTTGTGTTTTTTTAATGCTTTTGAATTGCATTATAAAACCATAATCTTTTGTTGAAGTTGAAAAGTAAAAAAAAAAGTGACTTGTATTGACCTTATTAATGGCGATATATTGTCTGGGTTGGTGTTGTAAATTATTAGTAAACTAAAAGTACCGTTTCTGTTATTTTACAGAATATATTATAGATTTGTAGCTACAATCTATATTTCAAATATTAAAATTATATTTTTTGTTAGTTATTAAAAAAAAAACAATATACTTATAAGACTTTCTCCTGAAGAAAAAATATTATCAGACATACTGTGAAAATTTCCCTTGTTAAACATCATTTAATGATAATAATGCGAAATGTTTAAAAGAGAAAAACTATTCAAAGAGGGTTTAATAATTCTGATTGCAATTGTGTGTGTATGTATATATATGTATATATATATATATATATATATATATATATATATATATATATATATATATATATATATATATGTGCGACGTGGTGGCACATTAGATAGTGCTGTCGCCTCACAGCACGAAAGTTGCTGGTTCGAGCCTTAGCTGGGTCAGTTGGCATTTCTGTGTGGAGTTTGCATGTTCTCCCTGCGTTTGTGTGGGTTTCCTCCGCATGCTCCGGTTTCCCTCACAGTCCAAAAATATGCGGTACAAGTGAATTGGGTAGACTAAATTGTCCGTAGTGTATGTGTGTGAATGAGTATATATGGATGTTTCCCAGAGATGAGTTGTAACTGAAAGGGCATCCGCTGCATAATATAAATGCTGGATACATTGGCAGTTCATTCCACTGTGGCGACCCCAGATTATTAAAGGGACCAAGCCAAAAAGAATATGTATATAAAGACAAATCCAATTGATTAATCAATCACAAAAACATGTTGCTGGATGTAGATTGATGGACTAATCACCATTTATAGATGTCTGTTTATGTAGATTTATAGATGTCTGATGTCTGTATATCTCTTTCGCTTCCTCTAATCTCATGCTTTTTGTTCCTACAGTTGGTCTGATTCAGAAGTTTCTGATTCTACAGGTCAACATACCATTGGGAAAAGACTTTTCAGCTGAGTTTCTGTAAGTGCCACCATTGTTTTAATTAATTTAAATTAGCCTCATTGTTAAAAGTTTCCATCCGACCTCAAGCTACTGAAATCTTGATGAGCTGCTATAGCGTAGTTGACATTCAGAGAAAGTGTAGAGAATTTATTACCATAGAGGGTGAATTAATTCACACGTTCACGCATGCAGATGCCACTCCTACACCTTCCTCTACACATACACACATATTCAAGAACATGGTTAAAAATCTTTCTGTCTGCTTCATAGAGAAAGCTTTTAGTTATCTTTTCAATGCTGTCTTCTAGAGTGACTGATGAGGAGCATCTAAAGAGGAGACTCTACTTGTCGACTGTTCATAAAGAGCTCTCTGCAACTCCTTTGCATGCGAGAATACCTCTAACATGCCACAACCGCGATACTGTAAGTCTAGATGAACATCAACAACAGTGGAGATCAAAATCAGAGAAACACCTGCATATGGTTCCTTCATTAGGTTCATCACCCAATCAGACATTCATTTTTTTTATGCAGGGCAATGAACCCTGTCACACAGTAAAATGTGTAAAGCAGTTTCTTAAAGCTGAAAACATTTAAATATTGAAATGGCATTTCAGAGTCCTGATATGAACCTTAATGAAAATATCTGGATGTGTGTGAGAGATTAGTGATGCCTTGTAAGAGAGTAGTGATATCTGTGAGAGACTAGGCTGCGTTCCAGTCCAATTGTTTAGGGCCTTCACCCTCTAACTTCCCTCCATCTTGTCCCCTCAGATGTACGCCATTGATTACGTCACATAAGTGTCCACTGCTGGCAAATATCTGAATGTTTATAAATGGAATGCCCCAACCCCTTGAGCAATTGGGAAATACAATGTTGTGACATCACAATCGCATCGTATTCTGGGACATATGAAGCTGATTCACTCCCTTGGTAGAAACTAGTGATGTCTGTGAGAGGCTATGTCTGTAACTGCTATAACCTTCAGAAATTTCAGTTGTAATCTGTCTCTGGAGTGCTTTGGTAATTCTGAACCCTTAATTGCTGCTTGCAGCTAACATTCATATAATTTATGAATTTGCTCTTCAGTGTTTGGACTCTCAGTAATGATTTCAAACCACACTGAACTGAGCTAAACTGAACTGAACTTAAACAGTAAAAACTGAACTACCCTGATCCAGTTACTATGACCATTTATGTGAAGCTGCTTTGACACAATCTACATCGTAAAAACGATACAAATAAAGATGAATTGAATTGAATTGAATTTTAGTTGTACATTTTGTTTGTTTTACAGTCCTTACTGTTTTATAAATATTATAAAATATATATACAGTTGAAGTCAGAATTATTAGCCCTCCTGAATTAATAGCACCCAGTATATTTTTCCTCCATTTTCCTTTTAACCGAAAGATTTTTTTCAACACATTTCTGAACATAATAGTTTTAATAATCTCTAATAACTGATTTCTTTTTTTTTGCCATATTTTTTGCTATGATGACAGTAAATAATATGTTACCAGATAATTTCCAGCACACTATAGTATTCAGCCTAAAGTGCAGTTTAAAGGTTTAACTAGGTTAATTAGGCAAGTTAGGTGATAAGGCAAATCGTTTTATAACAGTGTTCTGTTCTGGTATAGACAATTGGAAAAAAATGCTTAAGTGGGTTAATAATATTGACCTTAAAATGGCTTTAAAAAATTAAAAACTGCTTTTATTTTAGACAAAATAAAACAATTATGACTTTCAGAAGAAACAATATTATTGGAAAAATTAATTAATATTTAAAATAGAAAAGAAAAATCACTGTATATATATCAACTGTATATATAAACATATATATTTTTTATAAATATTTTTTAATTTTATTTTATTATTATTATTATTATTATTATTATTTTGTTATTTTATAAAACACTTAGCATAGTAAGTAAGTCCCAACTAAAAAAATCAAATTTGGAATGATAAAGATTATATTATTTCTGTTTATGAATTTTTCTCTTTTTTGATCTCCTCTGTACAGTATGTAGTCTGCATATGAGCAGCTCGGAGACATACTTTGTGAAATGACCACAAAAATAAGCCAAAACTTTTGTTGTTAAGGTGTGATAAGGTAGTAGTTTCTGTGTGCAGTGGTGTAATCTGTGTATCGATCTGGACTCGCTCACCGCTGTGATATTCAGAGGGACGCGCTTCTTGTCTCTGGATGGCATCATCATCTCCGCCTGCTGTAAAGTTCGCCGCATCTTCACCATGAAGAATGAACCTGCAGACTCCACAGATGGAGGTTAGGGGAAAATTGGTCCTGCAATGTGTGGGCCACTTTTTAAAATAACTATTCTACATAAAATGGTTATTTTCATGAATAGGGTACACTTTAGTCTCCCATTACTTTAATTAGAGCATTAGAGGCTTGTTTTTAGTGAGGTAATTAGATTTGTTAGATAAACTACTGTATGATCTAATATTTAGAAACATAACATTTGGCTGCAGCCTACTTTTTATGCAAACTGTTACTTTGTGATTGTGCTTTTATTAAAAATAATAAAAAAATGTAATCAGCAAATCCATAAAATTGTGTTTTACAAAATAATAATTTTGTATTACAACCAACCTAATGTTTAGCAGTGTCCCACATTTTGTGTGCAAACCTGTTACTGCATGATTTTCTCCCTTTAGAAATGTAGAAATAAATTAATAAATCCATAAAATTGTTACTCCTTAGAAAGAAAGTCATTTTCTGCAGCATGGTAAATGAAAAAATCTCATTTCATTTTCTCAAAGATTGTATTATTGACTGCATTTGTCAAGCTCAGCCATTCAAACCTGTAGTTACTAAATGAAAAAAAAATAAATCAGGATTTTGCCATATTTATTTGTATTACCATAAATGTAATGTTTAGCAGTGCCCTACATTTTGTGTGCAAACATATGACTGTGTGATATTGCTCCTGTTATAAAAAAAAGAATAATAATTTTTTTTATGAACTGGGATTCCTAAGAAATAAAATCATTTGCTGCAGCACGATAAATGCAAAAATCCCATTACATTTGCTCAGACTGTAATATTGACTGCATTTATCAAGCTCAGCCAAAATGGTAGTTATTGTATATATTTTTTATAATTTATATATATTATTGCTTATTGAAAAAAATATTTGCTTTATAAAAACAAAACAAATAATAAGCTAAATAATAAGCAATATGAAAAAAAGAACAATCCATTCAAAACACTTAATATTACACTAACAGAATATAATATAATATCATATTTAAAGAATGTATTTATATTATGTTATAAAATAATATATGTTTAGTATTAATGATATCATTTTTGTAAATTCTTATCTTAGAAAGTTATCTAATATTTATTTGTACTGTATTATATACTGTTTAACTGTAAAAACACTGACAACAAACTTCACATCGAACACAAAAGCTTATATAATATTTTGTTTGACCCTGGTTGAAAGTCTGAAAGTTAAGCACCTACTTTCACTGACCCCATGTTGAAGTAGATCAACAATTCACAGAAGGTGCCTCAATATTTTATTTTTGACATTTTAGCCTAGAAGTTTCTTGACTTGGTGAAGCACCTTCCTGACACTCTTTTTCGTTGCCTGAAAACATTGTACTTTTCATATTTTAGAAATAAGAACTGGTCCAAAAGAAGAGATTCCCAGGAGCTGCCAGTTTCCTAGTGAAGTTCAGCATGTCAGCCAACTGGTGAACATGAAAACTCTGGGACAAACTGATGGAAAAAGTGGATCTTCAAATGGAGAGACCGGTCAGTCCACATTCTAGTATTCCATTTAATTTTTTTTTTAGTCTTGTGAGTTTAGTCTTCAGTCCTGTGTAAAAGTTTTTGTTGACTAAAAATCCAAAGTTATTTGAGAAATTACATAATTATTGCACTTTACCATAGGCAAAAATCTTGATAACGTGAAGTTAAATTGTACTTTACCATGTTTATATTCTAAATTAATAAAACAAAACAAAACATAAATCAAAACGCATTCAACATTATGAAAACTAATAAAACTCAAAGGTTGAATATGTGAATAATTTCTAGTTTTTAAATATGAACAGCAATAATTAATTAATTTATTTTCTTTTCGGCTTAGTCCCTTTATTAATCTACGGTCACCACAGCGGAATGAACCGCCAACTTATCCAGCATTTGTTTTACACAGCAGTTACCCTTCCAGCTGCAACCCATCTCTGGGAAACATCCATACACACTCATTCACACTCATACACTATGGACAATTTAGCTTACTCAATACCACATGTCTTTGGATTGTGGGGGAAACCAGAGCACCCGGATGAAACCCACGCGGACACAGGGAGAACATGCAAACTCCACACAGAAATGCCAACTGACCCAACCGAGGCTCAAACCAGCGAGCTTCTTGCTGTGAGGCGACAGCACTACCTACTGTGCCACTGCGTCACCTTTAATAGCAATGATCCCAAATTATATTCATATTATATTCATCAACTAGAGTTTATGGTACAAAGATTGTCTAAATTCATTTATTCAACAACCACAATCACAACAAATAAATGCATAAATAACCAAAACAAACGAATTAATAAATAAATAAATAAAAATAAATAAATAAATAACAAAAGTAAATATATTAGTGTTTGGATTTATGACAGGTTTTCAAATATTTAGTATGCAAATGAGGGCAGTAATTAATAATGACAAAACATAATATAACTGTATTTTTGTGAATTTCTATTATTATGTGTTTTTATTGTGCCAGCTTAGTAATGCATGAAATCTCTTTTTTAAAATGTGATTTATTGAATCGTTTGTTTACATGACTGAATCACTGAATCGTTGACTCAAATGACTCTAATCATTAATTGTGTAAACGAAGCACAGCAGTGGTGAGACACACAAATGGTATGCTCTGGCTTTGTTTGGAAGTATTATCATTAGCGATACAGAAAAGTAGATGTGTCTATGATATATAATAACCTGCCTGATATTAATATTACTTGTTGAACTGTTGTATACAATCAAATTTGCTCTGATATTTGGGGAAAATGCCACACTTTTGTGTCATGATACTACTACACACTACTATATTTCCCATATTACAACTATATATCATATCACAATATTTAAAAGAAAATGACTTTCATAAATCAAATTCAACTTTTATTTGTGACATACAGAGTGATACACAGTATGATATGCAGTGAAATGCTTACACAACCACTCATGGCCTTAAAATAATAACAAAAAATATATAATAATAACAGTAGAATATAAATTGTGGAGGAATAGAAGTTATGCAATAGAAACTAAAAGCAAATATTAAAATATTCAAAGACTGTCTATGGCAGCCTAAAGATGTCTCTCATATGTAGAATGAAATTACATGCATTGCTCAGGTGTGAGTTTTTCCACAGACTTCAACAGAGAGTAAAAACTTCATGGTTCTGTGGGTTTTGTCTTTCCAAACTGGTCTTTATTTGTATTCTCTATTGGACTCAAATCAGGTGATTGGCTGGGCCATTCTACAGCATGATTTTCTTTCTCTGAAACAATTTGAGAGTTTCCTTGACTGTTTTGGATCATTGTCTTGCTGAAATGTCCACTATGGTTTTATCTTAGTCATCCTGATAATGTAGGTGTTGGACTGAAGCAGCTAATATGAATTTACACTGACGAAGGGCAGAGAGTTGCTGAAAAACTACTGAAAGATTTTAGCTGCTGTCTGGGCTTTCACTGCCCTTTTATAGCTCCCTTTCGTCATTTGTTCAAAACTGTTTTCCTGTGTCATTTCATTTTATTACTGTAACGCCGGGGGTGACACACACAACAGGAGGTAAGATCCAATATGCAGGTTTATTCAATGTCAAGCAAGCAATGGTCAAATCCAACCCAAGCTCATTCTGGAAACATAGCCCCGTGGACGTTTCTAGAGACCGCAATTTATGTGGCCGGAGGTACGTACGGACGCGTTTAGTTTTTAGTTTTTATTTGTTGTGGCGCCGCTCCGCTCCTCCTCTTCGCGCTCACCGGCCGACGGCTCGCCTCCGAGTGGAGGGCTTTCCCGATGCAACCAGTTTGTCCGCTTAGCTTACAGCGTTGCATCGGTGGAGTGGAGGCCCCGGAGGAGGAGCCGGCCGCGGGGACGACGACCGGGATCAAGTCCGGGGAACAGCGGTTCCAGAAATCAGGTAAGACGAAAAACGGAATCCGAAAAATAAGGGCGAGAACGCGGCGGGATCCGAAAATGCGGTCATAATCGAAGACGAGGGCTTTTGCTTTTTTTTCTTTTTTTTCTGAACGGCTTTTGCAAACCGTCGCTCGGGTTTAGGGAAGAAGGAGGAGGAGGAGGGCGGCCGGGTCGGTTCTTTCGCGCGAGAACAGCGCGGGCGCGAACAGCGCACGCTCCCGAGAGAAGCCCAAGACGCGAAAAAGCGCACACAGCGACCTTTCGCGGATCCGTGAAAACAAAAAACGCTCGAATACGTATAACGGATAAACAAGGCTAAGGTCTAAACACTGGAAACAAGACAAGGAGAAACGCGTTGTAATGTCACTGATAGCAAACAAGACTCGGCCCACTGGAAAGGTGAATGAGTGGCTTAAGTAATGAGTGCAATCAGTCTCTGACAAGGCTCAGGTGGTGAGAATGTAATCAGTCTACATGAGTGAGCATGTGTGAGTGTGAACGGAGAGCATGTATGAATATGTAGTCCAAGAGAAGGCGGAAGTGTAGTCCATGGATACTGTGTGAGAACCAGCGATCTCTGGAGAATGATCGCTGGTTATCTTGACAATTACACACAACTTGATTTGTAAACTATTTAGATTTGTTTTCTTTGCATGTATGAATTTTTTTGGATGTTTTCAAAATTGCAAGTAAACGGCACCTAAATATGTTTTCTGAGAAAAATGATGACATGTCGAGTACTTACTTCCCCAACTGTAAAAGCATAAAATATATAACAGAGATATCTGTATAAACAAAAACATAGTAGTGTTTCTAACAAAGTGCCTGGTGGATACAAGAGGAAAAAGTGTATCCTATATCTTAAATTATAGGTTCATCCTAACTGCATTCTACTTTGAGATGTTTTTTACCATTTTCTATAAAGAACAATTGCGATATTATCACAGACTATAAATGCAGCACACTCCAAATTCAACTGCTTTACTCTTCGACATTGATTTCTATTAATAGTCTTACAATTCTTTTTGAGTGTCTAACTGAACAGAGTCATAAAGTTCAGTGCTTTTCTCCAGTTCTTTGCTAAACAGAAGGTCAGACCCCTCAGCACAAGTCTCCTGCTATTTGCTGTCTGTTAGTTTGCTGACAAGAGACACCTCTTGCCAAGAGAGCTCTAATCATCTCTCTTTAGTCACATACCTGTCCACCGTGCCAGCCCAGTGAGACCTTCATAGCTGTTCTTACGCTTTTTATTTATCCAGACATCTGTTGGCCTCATCTCATAGTGCCAGACTGCTGTCATCTCACTGTAAGCTTCACCAAAAAACACTCAAACATTGTCCTAGCGATATATAAATACAAAGAAGAGGTCAATCACTAACAAGAAGTGTTGGACGGTAATGAAATCACATAAATGTTTCTACATATGCACATATTGCACCAAAAGACGCAGTGTCTCGTTCTATATTAATAATTTTTTATCCTCGGTTTCATCACCTAGCAACAGTGTATCAAAACACTGTGTGTGTGTGTATGAAACTGTAGCTTTCAGCCTTGGATCCTGAGCTGGCTGTTATACTGAAATGACAAATGGCAGTATTTTGTGTTTTGTTTCCAGGTTGCCATGACCTTAACACTGCTTCTTCTTGCGGCATCGCGCTAAATAACAATTGAAAATATGCCAGTTCCAAACCAACAGATGGCAAGGGCCTCATGATTGCAAGGATTATGAATTTGAAAGCAGTCGCTTTGTAATAGAGAATGTCGTGATATTGTTAGTCTAAATTCAAATGATATTGCTTGAGTGATTTAACACTTAATCGCTTTGTTTGGCACTTTGAATTGGGCCACAACAAACTTTACCTCTGAATAGAAATCCTGCTTGACTTATTTTAAAGTTAAGGACGTTACAAAAGCAAACTATTCATGTATGTTCGCCTATCTCCTGATGCATTTTAATGTAATGCCTGGCTTATAAAATAAATAATTCTATAAATTGATTCAGTGAAGAAGTTGAAAGATTGCTTTTTTGTGACCTAGAATGTTGAACAGTGTACAGGACTCTCAGTCCGATTTGAGCACCAGAAAGAACTATTTTATAAAATACAGCAAAGAAAATAAGTATTGAACACATCATTTTTTTCCCTGGAAATAATATTTCTAAAGGAGCTGTTGACATGGAATTGAACCAGATTTTGGTAAAAACCCAAACAATACAAAAATAAAAATAAAACAAGACCAAAAACAATCTGAAAAATGGGTTATGTGTAATAACAATGGAACGACACAAGTAGAAAGTACTGAAATACTGAAACATATTTAATACTTTATATAAAAGGCTGTTTTGAGAGTGTAGGCTCATACATTGCTCAGGTGTGAGTTTTTCAACAGAGTGTAAAAATCTTGATGGTTCTGAGGGTCTTGTCTATCAAATCTGATCTTTATTTTGTATTTTCTATTGGATTCAAATCAGGTGATTGGGTGGGCCATTCTACCGCTTGATTTTCTTTCTCTGAAAGCATTTGAGAGTTTCTCCGGCTGTGTTTTGAATAATTTTCTTGCTGAAACGTCCAGCCTGGTTTCATCTTAATCATCCTGATAATGTAGGTGTTGGACTGAACCAGCTAATATTAATTTACACTGATGAAGAGATGAGGGTTGCTGAATAACTACTGAGAGATTTTGGCTGCTGTCTGGGCTTTCACTGCCTTTTTACACCTCCCTTTCTTCATGTGTTCAATACGTTTTCCCTGCGTCGTTTCATTTTATTACGCGTAACTTCATTTGTAACCTAACTAGATTTGTTTTTTGTGCATGTATGTATTTCTTTGGTTGTTAAAATCAGGTGACAATTTTTAAGTCAACAGCACCTTTAGAAGTATGTTTTCTGAGAAAAACAGTGATGTGTTCAATACTTCAATACTTTCCCCGCTGTATAATACAGTGCTCTTAGTGAATTGTATTCAAACCCAAACTAATAAAAAATAAATAAAAGAAACGCAGTTGCTCATGTTTATGTGGCTAAAAAAGTAACACAAAACTTTATAAATCAGTGAGGTACTTAATTAAATGCAAATAAATATTAGTTTTATTGTGCTATTTAAAGTCTTCATTTTATGAACAAACTCTGTACTATTGTGTGGAGCAAAACATACTGTATAATGTAAAGATGTACAGTTGAAAAATGATTAGCTATCCTGTTAAATTTTTATTATTATTTAATATTCCAAGTGCTGCTTAAAGAAGAAACTTTTTTTAACACATTGTTAAACATAATAGTTTTAATAATTAATTTGTAATAACTCATTTCTTTTGTCTTTGTAATGATGACAGAGTTTTGACAAAAGTTTTTTTTGCAAGATACTAATTTTAAGCTTAAAATGCATTTTAACCCTTTAATTGCCTGCTCTATACCAAGTGGTTGACAATATTTTCACTGTTCTAAATATAATGACTGTTAAAGTTATTTAAAGAATGACTGTTTCAATAATGGCTCACACACACAGCATTGTTGGTTTACAAGAAAATTCAACAAACATATTCCTGTTGCACTAATGCACATAATTTTGGCTTTATTGTAAAAACAACAACAACAACAACAACAACAACAACAACAACAACAACAACAACAAAAGAACATTTAAAAGCAAACAAACAAAAAAAAACATGTTAATTGAGAATCTGAAATATTTTATGACCTGCTTCAAAAAATAAATAGGATTTAGTGTTCAAAAATGTTTTCTTTTTAATATTTTTTTTAAATAAATTGGTCTTACACATCATATTTTTATATTTTTCTTATCAGATGTATTCATTCCAGTATTTTTTACTTGTTTTAATATGTTTTAACATGTTTTATTTTAATGATTTCTTTTACTTGTTTTCTCTTATTGTAAAGCACTTTATGATTCAATGTCTGGGAAAGGTGCTATGTAAATTAACCTTTACATACTTACCTACCTTTACTTACTCTTACCATAAACCGACATATCAACCATTTGGTAGAGGTTGATATTTTAGAAATTATGGGATGTGTTGACAAACAATCTGTGTTAACTAGCGGCATTAGGAGTTCAGAAATGCAATCCAATTTTTTTTTCTTTGTGGGGCAATTAAAGGGTTAAATGCTTAACTAATTATGTTAACTAGGCAAGTTGGTTTATTAAGTCACTGGATAACAATCGAAAAAAATAATAATTTCTTACGGGTTTTAATAATTACTAATTATTTTTAAAAATAAATAAAAGCTGATTTTATTCCAGCTAAATTAAAAGAAACAAGCCTAACTCTATAATAGGGCATACTGTGGAAATGTCCCTCAAAAAAGAATTTGAAAAAGAATAAAACATTTCATTACATTTTACAGTAACTCTTTAGAATAATGATCCATTAGTCAATGTATTAACTAACTTAATTTGAGTAATCTTGTAAAGCATTGAATAATCATAGTTCAACATTTACTAAGGCGTTGTTAAATTCCAAAGTTGTGCTTGTTAACATTAGTTATTGAGCTTTTAACATAAAGTAACATGAATAAATACCATAGTTAAAGCATAACTAATTGTTTGTTCATCTTAATAAATACATAAACTAATGGAATATTATTTTAAAGTGTTACCAAATTAACTGTATACAGGCAACAAATAAACTACCCTCAGAAAACATTTTGTTAACAAATGTATGTTAATGAAGTAAGGCTTTCGTAAGTGTTTTGTGTATGTCTGTGTTCTAGAAGACACCAGTGGCATCAAGGCATCCATCACCAAAGGTCCTACACCTCGAGACTCATCCCATATTGCTTTCGGGTCTAAAGTTATCGGACCTCCTCCGCTTACCGCCAGGAAGAGCAGCACATCTGCAAACACAAAAGAAGAAAGATTCAAGTCTGAACTAAGTCTCAACATACCGTCAGGTAAACACACATACAAAAAGTTTCTTGACAACCCTTGCTGTCCTTCTAAACTTGCTCTGAATAGGATTGAGTCTGGTGATTACTGCATGGGTGAGTGCTAGCTAGTCTCTGCTACAGTAAAAAAATCATTAAGAGTACACTGAGAAGTTGATATTTGTAGAGTGGGAAATGAATATTTTAGTGCTGTATTACTGTATGTTTCCAAATATAGGTCGAAGTGAAAAAGTACAGCCAAGACCACCACTCGAAAAACCATCTGCTGAACGAACGAGCTCTAGGAGACCTCAGAGGATCCACAATACGAAGAGAGAAAAATCCTGCACAGGTGCCTTTAATATATTAGATTATACAGACTTTTGCGGTTGGTTCCATTTTGTAAGGAAAGGAAGTCTCTTATGCTCACCACTGCTGCACTGATTTGATCACAAATACTGAAATTTATAATAACTGCTTTAAAGTGTCATTTATTTATTTGGTGGCTGAATTTTAATGTTACTGTTAACCTTTAATTTAATTATTATCATTTTTATAAAAGATGAAACCATGGTCATTTTTTTCAGGATTCTTTGATCAATAGGAAGTTCAAACATTAGTCAAAATAGAAAATATGTGATTTGATTAAATTAGCGTGTGCTTGCTGAATAAAAGCTTCATTTCTGTACAAAAAAATAGCCCAATTTTCTGAACGAGGTATATATAAAGGAGGGGATTGAATTATACAAATTATACAAATTTTTTTAGCTTTAAGTGGCATTTAGAAGACCACTTTTCAAGTTGCTCTGTGTTGATATTTTGCATTTGCCATTTAAAGTCAGAACTAGTTTCTTAGAAATGTTAATCAGACAGATGATTCCTTCTCTAGAGATTCATTCCACAAATTCTCTTGAAATTAGTTCCTTGTTGACTTTTGAAGTCTGCTGCAAACTACAAAGTCACTGTATTTTATTTTGGTCTCATATGTACTCTCTAAGATAAAGAAGGTGGCAAAATTAGCCTGAACCCAGAGGGATCTGAGCTTCAAGGAAAAAATGCAGTATCGTCACTACAAACTCTGGGCTTGGACTTAACGGTAGAACATAAATTAACTGATCCGATTCTACAAGGTGAGTAATTATGTTCCTTCTATGTTATAGTGGGCACTTAAACTGCTGGTCTGACCTCACACCTCACTCAGGTGTGCAAATCTTGCTGGTCATTCTCGCTATGGCAACCATCTTAACTTTTAGTATTACAAGTATATTAAAACCACAGTTACACAGTTAAAGTTAAGTCACAAGAAATCATTCAAAAATGCTTATTTAGTGCACTTTTTAAAGAAATGCTGTATCATGTCAACCCAAAGTTCTATAAAATATGGAGAAACTCAATGGTTGGGCAACAGCTCAGCATTTTTAGAGTGTAAGCAATTAACATTATTATACAAGTTGAAAACAGTATATTTTAGTAGATATATTTTCAATATTTTAGTGGAAACCATAATACATTGAAGATTCTTTAATAAACAACCATCAAGAACACTCTTAATACTGTATTGTGAAATCCTAGCAACAGCTCCAACATCATAAAACAAGTTTTAAACTTACGTGATTTAAAATGATACAAAAAATGTATTCATTCATTCATTCTTCTTCGGCTTAGTTTCTTTATTCATCAGGGGTCGTCACAGCAGAATGAACCGCCATCTTATCCAGCATACGTTTTACCCAGAAATTCCAACTGACCCAGCCAGGACTTAAACCAGCAACCTTCTTGCTGTGAGGCAACAGTGCTAACCACTGAGCTGCCATGTTGGCCAAAAAGTGAATTAATAATATTTGTTTAAACTATAATTTACCATGCTATAAAGAGTATTTTTTATGGAGAAGCAAAGCCATGCTGTCATGTGTGTCTTTTTAAATGCAAATGAGCTACTGCTGCCTGCCTCTTTCTTTAAGAGGGTGGAGCTTTTATGACTAAACGTCTGCATGTGGTTTAAAGCTTTGTTGGGTTAAACTACTGATATTCAGTACGGCTTTATGATCACACGTTCATTCATTCATTCATTTTCTTTTCGGCTTAGTCCGCTTATTAATCAGGTGTCGCCACAGCGAAATGAACCGCCAACTTATTCAACACATGTTTTAGGCAGAGGATGCCCTTCCAGCCGCAAACCAACACTGGGAAACACCGATACACTCTTGCACACACCCACATACACTATGGCCAATTAGCTTATTCAATTCACCTGTACCGCATGTCTTTGGACTGTGAGGGAAACCCGTAGGAAATCCACGCTTACACAGGGAGAACATGCAAACTCCTCACATAAACAGCAACTGACTCAGCCGGGGCTCAATCAGAAACCTTCTTGCTGTGAGGCGATTGTGCAACCCAATGCGCCATCGTGCTGACCCCATCTGATCACACTGTCACACCCTTTTTGTGTTTAAAAGAGATCTAATAGATGTAAACATAGGTGTTCTGGCTTTAATTTGGCCAAACTATTCAGCCCACGAACCCCAAAATAACAATTCCAAAGACTCGCGACCCCCACTATCCTCGGAATTGGTTATAATTATACAAACATTGCACACAACGGTGCATACACACTAATAGGAACTATATAAACACAAGCATATTGACATGTTGTTTAATTTAATATTAATTATAGCCTTGTATTCGTATATTGTTTATTTGTATAGCTTTTTATTTGTATGTTGTTTTTTTATGTAACTATTAAATGTATAAAATATGTTATGGATAAAATATGGTAATTCTGATAGTTTAATAAGATATATAAGATTTTTGAAAATCACCATCGACTTTCTTGTGACCTCCACTTTGGGAACCACTGGTCTAGAAATAGACTACTCATCAATTAGACCTAAATGAATGAATGAATGACTAGCTAGTGGGCAGTCAAAACAACATCAAAATAGTCAAAAAACACATAAAAAATGCAAATCGATTTGATTCCAAAATCTTAATGCCAATTTGAAATCCACACACAGTACGGCTTTCTCAACACACAGCTGCAAAATTTTTTTTGTGTGTTTAATAGCAACATAGACTAATTCTGAAAACATAGCCCCTTATACATTTCTGGAGATTGCAAATTATGTAGCCAGCAGTGCATATGGCTGGATTTTGACTTTAAAATGAATGCTATGGGGCGGTATGACGCCGTTCCTTTTCGCGCTTACCAGCTGACCACTTACAGTACCTCCGTATGGACGAGTTTCCCCGCTGTTGCCAGTTTGTCCAGTTAGCTTGCCATATACATTGGTGGACTTGAGATGCAGAGAGGAGTTAACCATGACGATGAGGTTCGAGTGTGTCGAAGAACAGTTCCAAAATACAGGTAAAACAGAAACAGAAGCCAAAAAATAAAAATAAATAAATAAATAACAGGGTGAGAATGTGGTAAAATCTGAAAACGATGTAGAAATCAGGCGAGGGCTTTTCTTTTTCTGGATTGCTTTTAAAACAGTTGGTTGGGTTTAAGGAAGTTGGTAGGCGGGTCAATTGGTGCTTTTGAAAACACTATTGGTTGGGTTTAGGGAAGGAGGAGGGTGGGTCAGTCAATTGGTCAGTCATTCAGTCAGTCATCCGTGGCCACTGGTGAATTTACACTAGAACAGCAGGCGTGAATGGCACTAGCAAGAGATATTCGAGATCTGAAAAAGCATACACAAACACTGTCGGATTCACGAAAACAACTACAAAAAAAAAAAAAAACATAGCTCCTGGGACATATTTGATGCTCTCCAGAAACGTATATGGTGGTACATTTTCAGAATGAGCCTGGGTTGTTTAACAGAGATGTAATAGATATCTAAACATAGATATCTTGGCTAAAACAAGCCTAAATTTGTGTAAACACTGAAAATCTATTAACAATAGCCTAAAAATAAACTACTCATCAAATAGACATGAATGAATGAATGAATGAATGAATGAATGAATGAATGAATGGATGGATGGATGGATGGATGGATGGATGGATGGATGGATGGATGGATGGATGGATGGATGGATGAACGAATGACAATTTGACACCCACACACTGATGCCCTTTTGACCACTAAAACAACAACACAAAAAGTCTTATGATATAAGAAAAATGTTATAAATCTGTAGTCTTCAGTTACAAATGACAAATTTATACTGGATTTTGTAATCCTATTGCTTGTAAACTACCTTGATGTCAAAATTACAACAAATTGACCTAAAAAAAACATGCCAAAAATCACTTACAAGACTGTAATAATTCTTTTTTTATTCTTTATTTAATGCCAGTGATAGAAATCAAAAAACACCAAATCAAATGTTTTTGACATGGCATTTTTTATGTTGTTCCATTAGATAGCCTATTAAGAAGTCTATGTTTAGACATCTATTAGACATTTCCTAAACACAAAATTACCTGGTGGGAAAGTGCACACACATTAAAGGATGCTGAAAAATCCCAAGAGGGTCCCTTTAATAAACAGTTTAGATCAGATTCAGCATAAATAAAACTAGATACAACTACAAAATGCTTCTAAAATGAATTTATCTCTACTTCAGTATTGCAGTACAAATGGGCTAACAAACCAAATATGCCAAATGAACGATTCTGAATGCCAGCACTGAGAACATGAGCAGTTGTTCCATGTTAACAGTCCTTTCCTGCGGAGTAGGTCTAACTCCAACTTCCTTTTAGCAAAGGAAAGAGAGTTCATTAGTGGTAATGGGACATTAAGTACACTGTGTAGGTCAGAAAGAAGTCTCTGGGGTTCAGGCAAGCTTGCACCGTGGGCAATTAGAAAAGGTGATTACAATATAAGCCTGTTCAAAAACGTGCCAGGAATCGAAATATGCAAAACCCTTCGGAATGGCAAGAGCGAAGGCAACTCTTGAGAGGTGCTCTGTGAGCGTGCATACTTTAATTAGATTAAACGCTACTCTGTGAAGAGCCTAATAGAGCCTTTACATCACTTTATCTGACATGGCCATTATGTTGCCGTTTTCATTTTTCATTTATGTAAGCGGCTGTTTAGCCGATCTCATCTATATGATCCGTGCAAAATACAGGTCATTGAAAACAAACCACAGAATAGGAAATCACAGATAGTCTTTTGTCTCCCAGAGCTATGAGATTAAATTGATATAGATGATCTCCAGCTTTTAAAAAGATGAAGACCATTACTGATTATTAGTGAGGCTGATATATAGCTAAAACTAATTGATTAATTGATTTACTAATTATTTATGGGTTGTACGATAATACTAATAAAGAGATATTTCACCCAAAAATGAAAATTTATCCATTTACTCTTTCACAATTAGTTCAAACCTTTATAACTTTCTATTGAACACTAAATTAGATCTTTTAAAAAAAGCTGATAACCTGTGACCATATATGTCCATGGTAGGAAAAACAAATACACTGTAAAACCCAACAGTCAACTTTATCAAATGAATTGAGTGTTGTTTACTCAAAATTTACTCATTTGAAATGAGTTTTGAACTCAGTGTTGAAAGTAATGAGTTAATTAAACACCTCATTACTTCAACTTAAATAGAGTAAGTTCACAGTACTCAAATTCGTTTTTTTAACTCAAATGGTTTGTAGGAATCTGTTTCCTTAAATGGTTGGATTTGCCTTAAAGGGCCATGAAACCCCCTCGTTTCAGCAGGGTGTTTTCACACCTCTACTTTGGAAAAAGTCAGATAAGTGGGCGTGTCCAGCTCTGTTTAGGGGGGAGTGTCGGAGGAACTAAAGTGGGAGGGTGTGGGAGTGTCTATTTGGGAACGTGCGAGTTTCAGAGTAAAAATACACAGACAGGAGAAAGTGGTGGTGTTTAACCTACATGGACATCTGTAGTCGAATTATTTGCCAAATTATTAAATGGTGGACTTTAACTGCAGTTTGGCTCTTTCATTCAGGGAATTCATTCATGCCCCTTGCGACAAACGAGATATTTGATTCGAGGAACTGCTCTAAGCGTGTATTTTTCATGCAATGTTTGATACCGCACGGCGAATGAGGGAAAAAAACCCTCTGCATTTCCCGGAAACTTAGATGCACACGGCAGGTAGCGTCAGAAAGCCGCGTGTGTTATTCCGGTCACTAAATGCG